AAAAAAAAAAAATTAATTAATGGGGCATAGATAAACTCAGAATTGCCAGTTATCCCCACAGAAGAAAATATCTGACACATTTTGAATTTCCAGATAACATATACACAATTACAATCATCTTCACACACTGAACATAATTTATATTGTAATAACATAAATATTAAAAGGAGCTCTGGTGGCATAGTGCCTAAGGCATCTGACTGCTAACTAGAAGGCTGGTGGTTCAAACCCACCAGCCACTCTGTGGAAGGAAGATGGGACAATCTACTTCGGTAAAGACTTACTGCCTCAGAAACCCAATGAGGGTTATTATGAGTTGAAATCAAAGTACATGAGTATATCCTTCTTTACAAATTTAAGGTGAAAGCATAAATTTTTCATTATTTTCCCTTTACAGTTTTTACGGTAGTATTCTCAGTAACACAAAAGCCTAAAAAATATAATGTTTAACAATTGATAAAATCCAGCATATCACATGTTGGTGTTAGGTGCTATTGTGTCCCTTCCCACTCACAGAGAGACCCTATGGACAACAGAACAAAACACAACATGGTCTTGCACCATCCTCACAATTATAGCCATAATTGAGCCCACCATCGCAGTTGCTCTGTCAATTCATCTTGTTGAGGGTCTTTCCCTTTTGTGCTGGCCCTCTATATTACTAAGCATGATATCCTTCTCGAGACTGGTCCCTTCTACATGACCAAAGTAGGTGAGACAAAGTGTGGTCATTCTCACTTATCATATACATCATATGTATATATCATATACATACCACCAAAAATTCCTTTTTATCCACCATTTCATTGCCATCAGTGTCAAACATGTTGAAAGCTATTCTAAAACCTGCATGTGGCTCTGCCAGAAAAAATACAAAAAGTATTCATGAAATGGAAAAATGTGCTTTCAAGCTAAAGTTCACATTAGTTGTAAACTGTTACTCATATTCTGTGCAGAAATACTTTCTCCATCCAAGAATATTAAAAATAACATGTTATAATTAGTTAAAATACAATGAGTTATACAGAAGTATACATATCACTGGTTCATACATTAACATATTTAGTAATAAACTTGGTAACAATACAATTTAAAAGTGCTTGTGCAAGACTCCTTGAATATCAACAACAAAAAATTTGACTCTTTCTCTTCTAAAAGTAAGTATTTCTCTTTCTTATCTGAAGTTTGTCAGTTTGTTTCAAAGGAAAATGTCAGCTGATCATATCTGATATATTTTCAGTATGTTCAACTATTTATAGAGCACCAGAAAAAAAAATGTGACTCGTCCATGAACCAGTCCCAGTTCTGATTCCAAAATGACCTACAAAAATAAATGTCAAGCAATATGATAGAATACAAAATGATGAACTTTTTTTTTTTAAAAAAAAGACATTGTGGTTAATAGTGTAGAAATTGCTTTAAGGTAATAAATCAATGAGTAGAGCACTGAGGTAAGGCAGCCAATTTTTAAGATAATTATTTCATGTATAAATTCTAACACCAAGAAACAAGAAGCAAAAGGAAAATATTTGACATTTTCCATAAATAGTTCCTATTTTGGGGCTTAAACTTTAGAGACTTCAAAAGGGAAATATAAAGTAAGAAGCTTGAATAAATTAATTCCCATGTCTCCAAAAAACAAGGAATAATTTCCTTTTCTGAGAAAGACAGACTTTCATATATTATTAACTGCTTCAATTTTATGAACTTTCTAAGGTTCAATCCTTTTTCCCCTTTACTTCTAAAGCACAAAGAAGAAAACATGACAGAAGTAAACTTGAAAGCATCCTTTAAAGAGCTTCTCAGTGTGCATGCCTTTCTCAAAACATTTGACCTTTGGAGATGACCGGCAATAAGTTTAAAAAAGGACCTCCCACAGATGCACTTGCCACAACCTGTCGTGAAATTTTGAACCTGGCAATGGAGAAGCATATAGTGCTAGTTTCCTAACCAGTAACAGCTGCCTCTGGAAGAACAGAAATGGATACTAGTCTTTTGTGCAAGCTCATTTCTTGCATGCATTTTAGAGACCTAAACTTTGATTACTACTCCCTAAAGAAAGGAAAAGTTACATCATTTCTGATAAGCAAATGTTAAGCGTTAAGGTGTTCTGGTTAACTAGGTAACTTTACAAGTCTGTGAGACCTATTGACATCCACTCCTCTAATTCTTATGGTAGTGTTCATCATTGATTAGAACTTGCATCATCATTACAGCTTTCCAGTCTAGAACAATCTCAAGTAGACCAATTACTAACTGAACAGTACTAGCACTTATATACTTCCTGAGCCCATCCCCTAGGGTTTATTTTACATTAAAGCAAGTATTGATATATGACATAAAATTTATAATTTATGAGCATTTTATATGATAAGCCATAATATTATTTATGTTTTTGACTCTTGATAGTGCTATGCTTAGCATTTTTTTGTGTGGCGTTTGGATATGAATTTTGTAAAACAGCATGGATATACCTAAAGTGATTTTCAACAACTGAAGAAAGATTTGCTTTCTAAGATTCAGATTAAATATGAAAATTGCATACACAATAGATTTAATGAGTATACTTACTTGTTAAAATACATAAAAGAAAAAGATATTCTGTATAAGAAATTACACCTAGAAGAAAAATAATATCAATTATGATGATTATAAAAAACTACTTTAACTTCATATTTATCAAAGTAAAATATTATTCTCACAATAGCAATAAAGCATGAAATAACATAGCTTTAAAGCAGGTGCACTAAATATTGTTATAAATTGTACTAAATTACTATTATAAAATCACAACGAAACAAGCAACAAAATTATGTCTCTGCAGAAACCTATACAAAATCCTATTATTGCTCAAATATATTTGTAAAAAAAAAGCACAACTATAATAACTATAATGTTTACTTAAGAGTTATAAATATTAAACTTGTTGCTAGTTTTTAATATATAAACTTACCATAAAATAAAAATGTTAGAGATAATTAACATTGTGAAGAGCTCCATAGTTAACACTTTTCTCCTTTCATCATTTATTATTCTTGACAAACTTAATGCTTCTATTAAATGTATTCTTCTAAGAAGTTTTTATTTTAATTAAATGGCTTACCCTTTTTGTGGGAGCTCTGGTAGCATAGTGGCTAAGGCACCTGACTGCTAACCAGAAAGCTGGCAGTTCAAACCCACCAGCCACTCCTCAGAAGGAAGATGGGGCAATCTACTTCTGTAGTGATACTTTCTCGGAAACCCAAGGAGGGGTCGCTATGAGTCAGGTCCGACTCGCCAGCACATAACAACAACAACAACCCTTTTTGTATATCATATCCTGAGTTCACTGTAATCCCATAATAACAAATTTTAAAAAGGTATTTGTTTGTAGTAAACAAATACACACATTATGTTACTACAATTTTTGCTTTTGGATTACAAGTGGATAGTAAGAAAATCAAATTCAAGAATAAGCCTATAACACTTATCTAAATATGAGATAGTCCTTACATTGGGTAAAAGGGTATAAGAAAACTTCAATAATGAGATTGTGAAATTAAAATACTATTTTACCTGATGTTCTTTGAAGGTACCTCTTTGTCACAGAACAAAGAGAAGAGGAACCACCGTCAGGCAGTTTGTCAGAAGACACGAAGGAAGAAGGAACTAGCTATGAGGCCTTGAAAGCATTCCCTTCTTTTGTTTATACTAGAATATTGTGACCTATACACAGATAGTTGTGGCTGATTGCCATGAATGTTATGGTAGAAAGATTCTGGAATGGTCATTGTCTATAAAGATAAAATATTTAGATTCCATAGGGATCACTTAAAAAAAAAAAAAGTATAAATGAAGAAATAAGAAAGGGAAATTGGATCGGAAATGGGACTCCTGCCTCTTCAATCTCATCTCAATGACTGGTACTCTAAATGATCTGGTAGAATTCATAGAGATATTGGTTGGTATAAACAAAGAAGTTCAATAACTTTCAACTGTTAGTTAAAGATTTTCCCAAGCAAAAGAATATTTAACAGGGAGAGTCCTGGTCATAATCATCATGGCAGGCCCGCTATAGAACTTTTTCTTTTTTTTTTTTCAATCAGGAACATAATTCTCTATTTAAAATATCTTTATGAAAAAGATAAATTTAACTTAAGAATTAACTGGTTTTTGAGGCGGCATAATCCAAAGGGAAGGAGAACAAGTAAACCCTATGATATAATTTAATAAAAATGATGAAGGAGAAGAGAAATACTTCTGAATCTGAAGACTTTTAATACTTCTCAATTACAAAAATGGAAAACGCTAAGACTAATCTTTCAATTATTTTAAGACTACTCAGAATCAAAGAATAAAAATACATCTAAAGCATATAGTAATATTGTGATGTTTACAAACGGGATTAGAAAGATGCCAACTAAATTTCTTTAGAAAAGACAATGAAAAAAATTTTTAAAAGGTGTTCCTTATAAACAATAAGCTGTTTAGTTGCTGTATCATGATACATTATAGCTGACTGTTATAACTAACTCTATAACACTGTTTCCACAAAATATAAACAACAAATAATAATTTTTATGAATCAGATAAATTTCATTTAAAAATTAATCAGCAACAGCTCTGAAAATTTAGCTTTAAAATTTCTTTGCCATTTAATCTAATAAAATTAGTTTTGGTGTACTTCTTTACTTCACCAAATTTAATGGCTTTAAAACTTTCTGGGATGATGGATTACCTTGATAAATCTGATCAATATGACATAGATTTGCACTGTCTTATTAGATATCCATATGTGGGTAAGTAAAACTCAAAAAAAAATTAAAATTCACTTCCTTGGTTACACTAACAATATTCCAAGTGCTTAACAGCCACTTTTGGCTAGTGGCTACCATATTGGCGATTACACATGGAAATTGAACAGCTCCATTACTACAGGCAGTTCTACTGGACAGTATTGAATAGAGATAGCATAGTGCCTAAGGCACTTGACTGCTAACCAGAAGGCTGGTGGTTCAAACCCACCAGCCACTCCTCGGAAGGAAGATGGGGCAATCTATTTCTGTAGTGATACTGCCTCGGAAACCCAAGGAGGGTTGCTATGAGTTGGGTCTGACTGACAGCACATAACAACAACAACAATAACCCATAAGGGTTGGTGTGGGGATATGAAAATATGCATGTAACATCAGAAGGATCAGAAAATATCTAAATCCAGGGCTTTCAGATTAAAGTCCTCTCAACTAAAAAGACTTTCCTTATTGCATGCATTTATTTATCTCAGATTATATTTGATAGAATTCATACTTTCCCATGAAAGATATTAAGGAAATATTTTTTAAAATTCATCAGGTTTACCTGATCATTCATAGCTTTGAATTTTCCTGACCTATTATACCACTCACTCTATGACCAGACTGATAATCTTTAAGACAACCTCCAGAAGAAAATTTCTTTTTAAAACTTTTATGAAAAGTATACAATAAAAGATAAAGTGTCTGTTTTTTTTAGATTCTCTTGTGGCATAGTGCCTAAGGCATTTGACTGCTAACCAGAAGGCTGGAGGTTCAAACCCACCAGCTACTCGTCAGAAGAAGATTGGGCAATCTACTTCTGTTGAGATACGGCCTCGGAAACCCAAGGAGGGGTCACTGTGAATCAAATCAACTCGACAGCAGTGAGTTTGGTTTGGTTTTTTGGATACCAAGTAGAAGTAATTTTAATTTCTAATTCTACTTAGATAAAATACATGAATCATAACTACTTCTTTTGAGCATTTGGCTTCATGCTAATGTAGACACATTTCAAACTAACATGGGTTAAAATTGATGAATCAGAAAAATAAACATATCATTTGTCTAATATTTTAATTATTCTTATGCTGAGAATATAAAAAGTATGAGTTCTGAGGAATCATAGGTTAAATTATAAGGTTAAAAAGATTTTATGCATCATTTATTACTATAACCAAAAAAAAAAAAAAACCCACTGCCATCGAGTCGATTCTGACTCAAAGCAACCCCTTGCTTTGGATTTCCAAGGTGGTAAATCTTTGTGGAAGTAGATTGTCCAGTCTTCCTTCCACGGAGTGGCTGGTGGGTTTGAAATGCCAACCCTCCAGTTAGCAGTCAAATGCCTTAGGCACTATGCCACCAGAGCTCCTTATTTATTGCTAAAAATAAGTATAAGTATGAAAGAACACTGGGATAAAAGCCCTATCTATTTAATTACAAAAAATGAATTATGAACTGTATGAATTAAAGAACTGAGTTGGATGTACGGATATGGATAATAGGGTAAGTTGAAACTGGTGGATTTTTCAGTGAGTCCTTTTAACAAAAAAATTAATTGTGGTAAATATGTATTTAACAAGTTGTTTGACATTTTAACATTCTTCATGTACATAACAGTCACATTAGTGTTGGGGCTAAATGAGCACTATTTTTAAAAGAGGGAGCTCTGGTAGCGTAATGCCTAAGGCATTTGACTGCTAACCAGAAGGCTGGCTATGATTCAAATCTACCAGCCACTCTTCAGAAGGAAGGTTGAGCAATCTACTTCCATAGTGATACTGTCTCAGAAACGCAAGGAGGGGTCGCTATGAGTCTGATCCAACTTGATGGCAGTGAGTTTTTTTGTTTTTTTTTTAAAGAAACATGCAAAAATTATTTTCACAATGATTATATTTAAGATTATCTGTAATTTCTCTGGAAAATGGAACAAACAAAAACAGGTATTTGGAGATCCAGTATTTCTGAAAAATGTATACATACATATAACATATATATACACACATATAACCTATACTTTCCAATATGGTTAAAAAATGTTTATTTTTTAATTGTAAAAGTTAATTTTATTGTAAATAATTAGGAACATTAATCACATTATCCCTCTAAAAAATTATTATTAACCTTTTGGTCTTTTCCTTTTCAATCTTTTCCCTATATATACTAACTCATATAAATATTTATATATATATATATATTTAAAGAGCTCTGGTAGCATAGTGGCTAAAGCACTTGACTGCTAACCAGAAGGCTGGTGGTTCAAACCCACCAGCCACTCCTCAGAAGGAAGGTTGGGCAATCCTACTTCCGTAGTGATACTGCCTCGGAAACCCAAGGAGGGGTTGCTAGGAGTCGGGGCCGACTCAACGGCACATAACAACAACAACAACAACATATATATTTAAAATATTTTTATGAGGAAATTATGCATGTATAAATAGTACAAACAATATAGTGTCAATATTAAAAAGCATAAATACTAAAATTAGCTTACCTCTTTCTTTAAGATTTCGAAATAGCTTTGATGATCCTTTCCAAACTGGTGGTGTTTCTGAAAGCATTTGATTTAATTCCTATGACATAATGCATCATAAATACAGATCAATAGGTAAACCAATTATTTATAAAATAGATCAAAAACATATTTAAATACATATGCAAAAAAACAATTACTCACTTAAAAGATCTAAAAAATGGCAATATGTACCCTATTCTAAACCTGTGGTTCTTTCAACCTCAAAATCCAATTTTTTTGTCCACAATTCAAACATTAACATAAACAAAGTTGTTATATTATATTCTCAATTAGAGCTATGATATTCTCATATAAATTTTATACTTTGAGGTGCATATACATACCCAAAGCAAAAACAACAACAAAAAATGCCACCAGAACTCCCTGCATATACATGTTAAAAAAACAAAACAAACAAACTTCACTGCCATCGAGTCAGATCTGACTCATAGTGACCCCTCTTTGGGTTTCTGAGGCTGTATCACTATGGAAGTAGATTGCCCAACCTTCCTTCCAAGAAGTGGCTGGTGGGTTTGAACCGTCAGCCTTCTGGTTAGCAGTCAAATGCCCTACGCACTATGCTACCAGAGCTACTGGGCATCCAGGCTTCCTTGTGACCCTATAAAGCTCCCTAAATCTAGAAGGAGAAAGATACATGTTGGGAAGGCGGGTAGTCATCGCCAACTTTGATAAAGAAATCTACCTTTTCTATGGCATTGTTTATAAAACTCTTTCTAACTGGTTCCAGAATTTAAACTCACTCAGTTTTATCTTAATTGTCCTATATATATATATGCATATATGTATATGCATATAGGATATGCGTACAGGACAATTAAGATAAAACTGAGTGAGTTTAAATTCTGGAACCAGTTACAAAGAGAGAGCTTTATCAATGTCACAGAAAAGGTACATTTCTTTATCAAAGTCAGAGATGACTACCCGCCTTCCCAAAACGTATCTTTCTCTTTCTAGATTTAGGGAGCTTTATAGGGTCACAAGGAAGCCTGGTTGCCCAGTGGCTAAGCACCTGGCTGCTAACCAAGCTCGGTTGGTAGTTTGAACTTACCTTTGGCTCTGCAGAAGAAAGATGTGGCCACCTGCTTGCTTCCATAAAGACTATAGACTTGGAAAGCCTATGGAATAGCTCTACTCCATCCTACAGCATCACTGTGAGTAAGAATTGACTTAACGGCAACATGTTTGGTTTTGGTTTTAGAGGACCGCTAAGGAGCACTGGTGGTACAATAGTTAAGCACTCAGCTGCTAATCCAAAAGCAAGCAGTTTGAACCTACCAGATGCTCTGTGGAAGAAAGATGTGGAAGTCTACTCTGTCCTATAGTTGCTGTAAGTCTGAATCCACTCCATGGCAACCAGCTTGGTTTTACAGGAATCTCTGGGTGGTATAAACAGTTAAGTACTTGACTATTAGTCAAGAGGTTGGCAGTTCCAACCCACTCAGAGGTTCTTAGGAAGACAGGCCCAGTAATCTGCTCCTGAAAGGTCAGTTTTGAAAATCTCATGGAGCAGTTCTACTCAGTACACATTGGGTCATCATGAGTCAGAATCAACTGAGCAACTAACAACAACAGAGTAATGGAGGAAGGAACCTTGGTGCAAAGAGTTAAGCACTTGGCTACTAAATGAAAGGTTGATAGTTTGAATCTATATAATGGCTCCATAGAACACTAGGCTACCTCCTTCCATAAAGATTACTGCCAAGAAAACTCTATGGGGAAGTTCTACTTTGTCACATGGGGTTGCTACAAGTTGGAATCTACTCAATGGCACTCAACAACATGGTGAAAAAGGAGTCCTTGTGTGGCACAAACTGTTAAGTGTTTGACTACTAAGTGAAAGGTTGTCAGTTTGAACCCACCCAGAGGTGCCTTGGAAGAAAGGCCTTGTGATCTGCTTGTAACAGACTTGAAAACTCTATGGGGGGTTCTACTCTGCAACACATGGGATCACCATGAGCCAGAACTGACAGCAACTGTTTTTCTGTGTTTTTTGAATTAATGGGAAAGGAGGAATGCTCTTAGTTGCTAACAGAAGACTGGATGTTCATGCTTACCCAGAGATACCTTGAAAGAAAAGCCTGGTTATCTTCTGAAAAATCAGCTACTGATAACACTATAGTGCATATAATTGTACTGTGACAAATATAAGGTCACCATGAATTGGAATCAACTCAATAGCAAGTGGTTGGTTGGCTGGTTGCTATAGTACAGGAGTACTCTGGGTGGTGCAAAAGGTTAATGCACTCAGCTGCTAACCAAAGGGTTGGAGTTTTGAGTTCACCCCAAAGCATCTCAGAACAAAAGCCTGGAAATCTACTTTGAAAAAAATCAGCCACTGAAAACCCTATGGAGCACAGTTCTACTCTGACATACACAGGTCATCATGAGTCAGAATCAACTTGATGACTGGCAACTGTTTTTATGTGCATGTTTGTTTATTTTATAATAAAGGAAGTAGATGACAAAGGACTATGTTAGAAAGTAATAAAGAATATTTTAATGGTGACTCAGAGAATGATGACATTAGATAAAGTGGAGGGCAGGGGTATTGAGTTATTGTGGCTACTATTTCCTTGTTTTTCTATTTTTAACCGAAATATTCAGTTAAAAAAAAAAAAAAAACTTCAGTTGCTCTTGGTCAACTATTGTTTTTCCTTTGTTTTAAATAAAAATATCATAGCTGTGGAGAAACTCCTTTGGAGATTTAAACATTGAAATCATTTTTTAATCTATTGTGAATACAACAACAACAATGCAATGCACCACTGTCGAGTCAGATCATTTTGGTTAATTATGAAGTAAACTAAACTAAAGGATTTGGTAAGTTGAAATAATTTGAAATAAAAATTAGTCTCTCAAGTGACGTATTAATAAGACTAGAAACTACTTCTTTCCAGATTTCATTCCTATTACTGAAGGTGTGGTTCCTAAAAAACCTGGGAATCACCTAGGAGTTTTTTAGAAATGCAGAATCGCAGGCCCAACTTCAAACTTATGTTGGTGTGTGGCTTGTAGTCTCTGAGCCCTCATGTTTGGTTTTTCACTGCTCCCATGGCTGCTGCCACCATGTGTCCTGCCTGGCCACCCTGCTAGTCAATGCCTGTGGAGAGATGCCGAGCTGCTGACATTCAGTCCTTCAGGGGTTCTGATTCTGATTAGGCTCCCAGAGATCTGCTCAGAGTGCAGCAAGCCTAGATGCAGCCAACTGCAGATGCAAGTCTGCAAACCCTGGAGGCTCTGAGCACTAATGGAGAGCCAGAACAGCTTGCAAGCTTACTTTGATAATATGGATCGAATATATACAAACACATGAATTATACATAATGTATTCACACATCCAAATCACATAAAGCCTTATTTCACAGAATGGATCATGGATGTTAACTGATGCATACCTGTAGTTCCCTTTTAAAGGATATAGGCAATTTTATTAAGTAAGTGAGGGACAAGGCCTAAAATAAAGACCCAGGATTATGTGTACCCTGATATCTGAAGAAAACTAGGAAGGCCTCAAATAGCCTAACCACAAGTTCCCCTCCCCACTGTGTTCCAGGGGACAAGACCCCTTACATAAACAATTCTCATTATTATGGGGACCAATTTAACTATTGCTTCAGATAAAAATAATGCTTATTTATCTCTGAGTGCTGTTGTAGCTGCTATCAAGTTGACTCTGATTCATGCTGACCCTGGGCACAAAAGAATGAAATGTTGCCCAGTCCTGCCTATTGCTCACTGTATCAGCATGTTTCAGTCCATCCTTGCATTTACTGTGCTAACCCATCTCACTGAAGGTCTTCCATGCCCTCATGGGCCCTCAACTTTACCAAACATTACATTCTCCTCCAACAATTAATGACGACATGTCTAAAGCAAGTGAGTTGGATAATGTTCTTTGTGATCCAGGAGGCTTTTATTGGCTAATTTTTAGAAGTAGATCACCACGCGTTCTTTCCTAGTCTGTAAACTCTGCTAAATCTGTCCATGGTGGGTAACCCTATTGGTAATTGACACTGGTGGCATAGCTTCCAGTATCATAGCAACATATAAGCCACCACGTATGACAAACTCACAGCCAACAGCAACTTCAATTGCCTATCACATCTTAGAAATATTCAAACAAAACAATCATATCCTCCTACATAAACCAGGGCCCTGCAAAACATGTGGTGTCCTCCCCCAGACTGTGAACATATGTGACAAATAAACTGTTGTCAATCTCATCTGTCCAGGATCGAGTGTCATGTGCTCAGCTATCCCCAACTTTAAGGTAGGAATCCCTCTTTAAAAGGATACAGAGTTGGCAATTAAAACAATGAATACAAATTTCTTATTATGTTGTTGTTGTTGCTGTTAGGAGTTGAGTCGGACCTGACTCATGGTGACCCCTCCTTGGGTTTCCAAGGCAGTATCACTATGGAAATAGATTGCCCAACCTTCCTTCTGAGGAGTGGCTGGTGGGTGTGAACTGCCAGCCTACAGCCTATATCTTTTTGTGTCTTGTTTTCTTATTGAATTTTAAGAATTCTTTGTATATTTTGGATAACACAATAATATATATATATATATATGTATATGTGTGTGTGTGTGTGTGTATATATATATACACACATACATACACATATATATGTATATGTGTGTATATATATATATATTTGTGTGTGTGATTTAGGTGAAAATTTACAGAGCAAATTCACTTTCCATACAGCAGTTCACATATACTTTGTCTCATGACATTAAGTACAATTTACCACAATGCAACAGTTCCCCTCCCACTTCCTCCCCATAGTTACCTCTTCCTTGTGTCCATCCCTCCATGCACTCCTGCCCCCTGAGCTGTCTCCCTGTGCATAAACAGCTCTTCTTTCCTCCATATTTGTTCTCTCCAAGGAGTGCATCTATCTCAGGTAAATGTTCAACTCATATGCCTGTCTTTTGTTTGGCTGGAAGCCACAGGTATGGGTTCACTTTCAGACCCGAAGGACAGCTAGGGGCCATTGTCTCAGTGGTTCCACCAGGCACTATCAGATCAGCAAA